CCACTTCCCCATCCCTTTGGGTTTCTGTGGAGTTTCGGTTTTTAAGCGAGGGTTGACTTGGACAGCGCCTCCGGCTTTCCACTTGAGAGGTACGTGCAGGAGGTGAACAACAAGCCAACAGAGGGCATCAAGGAGGTTCCTGGATGCAACGCGATGCTTCGCTGATTGACATGCAGTTGGGAACAGAGACGCCGAAAAGAAATGGGGGGCGTTTCTTGGAAATCGAGCTCTCTCTCCCTGAGTCACTTTTTTTGGGTTTGAATCATTAGAGTGGCAAACACAAGTTTGGGTACTTTTTTTGGCCGGTCCACTAAGGAAGGTGAGGACTTGCAGTTGGGAGCAAGGAAGCCTGTTGATGGTTACGGCGGTTGAATCAGGCTACCTTCAATTGGCTCTTTGGAGTGGTGGTTTGGGGATAGTGAACGTGTCCCTGGCCAATCCAAACCACCAAATGAGGAATGCTGATTCAATTGCTCAGGGAATCAGCCATGCCTTGGGTGGTTGCGCAATGGTTTCGCACTTTTGGAATATCCAGAATGGATAATTTGTGCCCATGTGACGATAGCATCTACTCAGTGCAGAAGGTCTTTTTTACTGCTTCCAATTTGTGAGAAATGTCAGATGCCAACTTGGCTAGGGGATTGCCAACGGTTTTCAACACCAGCTTGCAATACTGTTGAGCAAGCTAGTCCCTCCAGGACCTGCTTCAGATGCGTTTCTACCTGTGATCAACTGGCTTATCATATCAGATTCGAAAACAATGCAGTGCATTGGTATCTACTACTGATGGGTGCAGGTGCAGCGCAACCGTGTTTTCAGTGCTTGGTCGAAAGCAATACCTTGCACATCAAGTCTTACAAAGCTGACATAGTATTAATTGGCGCGATCAGAAGATTCTAAGTTCTGATGTTCAGCACCAACTTGCACTTTGCGACCAGCGTGTGGTCCAATTTTCTATATTCAGCGTGAACTTTACACATCAGTATCCAGATCTGTCAACTGTAGCTCTTGGAGCTTCAACATCCTACGTCACGCACGGATATGAGCCAAAATAGGGTGACCATGGGTGGTATGCTTTTGGTTCCCTTCAAAGCCAGCCTGAAACGGGAACCGATGCGCAAAACGGAGCCCGGAGTCGTGGTTTTTGTTTCTGCTCAGCGGGCGAATCGTCTGGGTTTGGCTCCACATCCTTCCAGCCCCTGACGGACCTGAGGGTTTCGCCTGTTTTGTGAGTTTTCTGCGTAGGTTTTGCCCCTTTTTGTTGGATGGCCAAATCAAAGAGGCTATAGCAGCCAGTCGGAGTTGTGCTTCTTGGGTGAATGTGAAGATCACCTCTGCCATTTCAGAATGAGTTCTCTTATCTTGCTGGTGCGATAGGTAGGGAGCGACCGTTCCGGTTTTAGGATGAACCGCATGCGGGATTCCCTCAAGAGAAACCATAGGGGATGGTTCATTCCCTCATTCCCTGCTGGGAACCAGCAAGTTATTCGTCCCCTTGAAACATCCGCCCTCCACAGATGTTCCAGTCACCCAAGCTCGGATCGGGAGACCAATTTTCCTCCGGAGGTGGCCTGGCTGAGTTGCAACGACAACCCAAAGAGCACCGCGGAGGCGCGGGCCTTCCGGCGAAAGCTGCGGTTGGCCGCCAGGGCGGGGCATTTTTTTAGGCTGAGCTGGTTGGAGCCCAAAATGAGTGGGTTTTCCTTTTGGTCCCTCAAAAAAGACACCCAAATCACGATTTGCGGCCATAGTAGCGGGTTTCCTTTTTGGAGCCCCGCTTGGGCTTTGCATGGTAAGCCAAAAGGAAACGATCCATGAGGGGAAGTCTCCGACTGTTGAGGCACGGGGAATTTAGACCATGGTAAGGGTGCCAAGGACGCATGAGCAACACGCAAGGAGTTTGGACCATCAGTTCCGGTCACCAGGTGCGAAAATCGCCGGCTGCTTATCGGATCTTGGACGGGAAGGTTTCCCGGCCCAACGGTGGGGGTTCCCCAAAAACAATTTGATTCCCCCAAAACATTCGAGATGGTTGCGGAAAAGCGTTTTTTTCGTGGTTCCCCGAACACAATTTGGGACCGGTTCCGGTGCCGGGCTTCATTTGTAGGAGGCTGCAAAAAGCACATTTTTTGCAACCGTACCAAAGGTTGGACAGGTTTGTTCCAGGCATTGGCCCAACGGACTTGAGCGGCACTGTCCAGCCGGTCGATACCTCACTTTGCTCGCTGATCGATACCTCTTGCTAGATGTGTGAGGCCCCTTTTGGTGTTGGCTTTAAAGGGAAGCCAAAAGGAAGACTACCATATTAGGGGGTTCTGGGGTTCCCTAAAAAGGACGACCCCATGTGAATATGTCAGAGATGAAGCAACAGTTTTGCCCAGTTTTGCCCCCTTGGTTTCCCGGTTTACCTCTTTGCCCCTTTGATTGCTGTTTTGTTTGTCCTTTAACAGATGCAGATTGCTCATTCAGTTTGGGGGACTAGCATACCGCCCCACGCAAACTGGTTGGTTTGCATGTTGCTTCCGGGTTCCGCTCAATCTCAGTGCAGGGGTTAAATAATTGGGTCTCCTCCCCTCCCGTTTATAGACTCGTTTACACTTTGGACTTCTTCAGCATTCAACTGCCTTGCAAAACCTGAATAGAGATTGAGCACATTTTCAGACACCTACCCAGTTGCCCAGTGCTGCCCTGTTGTCCTTTTTTTTTTTGGAAGGGTTCCCCTTTAAAAGTCAACCAACCAACAAAAGGATACCCCTTTTTTTTCATGGAAACCCACTGGGCATCTGAGCCTTCGGCAAGGAGGGAAATGTGGTGCTCATCATGGCTGAACCTTCAGCCCCAAAACCTTCTTCTTTACTCATCGGCCACGAAGTTGCTCCGATGCCGGTGAGGCTGTCTTTCAAGGCAATCCTTCTTTGGGTGTTTTTTTCAAGGGAAAGTAACAAAAAAACCACTCAGTTTGGCGGGTCCCTTACAAAAATAGACACACCCATATATCCAAGGATGGCTGAAGAAGTGTCACCCGGTCTTCATCCTGTTTGTGCAGTGGATGGCACAATCCTTCTGCAGCTCTTATTGCCAGCGTTGGCTCAAATCGGAAGCTGTTGAGAGGTGCCTGCAGTCAGGAGCCCCTCAAGAATTCAATCTTCCCCAGCATGGCTGAAGGTTTGTTGCACTCCACCGAAGATAGCAGCAAAGAACCCAAAAGTCTCCACTCGCCTAACCTAAAAGAGTTACGAAATCCACATCTCATTTAGTTTTATCTCCCACACTCCCCCTTTCAACATTCCCTCTTGACTTCTTTGAGGTACATTGAGAGGATTTCACATTTGCCTCACTGTGTAGAGCAAGGTCAGAATACCAGAGAGGGCGTCTGTTCCAGCGACCTGAGAGGGTTTTTGGTTGACCCCCAAAAAAGGCTCAAGGCAGCAAACCTGATCGATTTTCGAGTGAACACATATGCCAAGCTGGCAAACTTCCCAAGCCACAGTGGCAAGAACCGTGGAGCCACAATCAAATCCTGGGTAGATGAAGATTAAGGGATGGTCCCAACCAAGTTTTTTCATTATGACTTGGACTTGTTCTGCTTCCCAAGAGGTGCCTTCTGGTTCCTAGCGGCTTCCCAGAGAAGCGACTCGTGAATGGCGACGCAGCTGCAGCTCTGCAGATCCAAGGCTGGGAAGAGATCAACGAAGTGCCGCCTTTTGAAGTTGATAGCAACAGGGACCACCCCTCTTAATGTCTAGGTTTCCCAGTAGTCCCCTTTTACCATTTCTTTTTTGGGGAGCGGGTTCCCCTTCTAAAATAGACAAAAAAGAAAAAGGGTAAGGGTACCCTTATTCTAACCTTTCAAATCTGGAGGACCTAGATGTTAACCGCGGATTCATACACCCCTGGTTGATTAGTAGGGGGGCGTCCCCTTTTAGTGGGACTCATCACTTTTGGAGGGAACACCCCCCTAATAATGGGACAGGTGTATTAGTCCTGGGCCAACAATATGTTTGGAAAATGAAGGACCCATGTGTGAAGCATTTCTTTAGAGCCCCCAAAGGCTGCTTCACATTCGAAGCATTGCGGAAGTTCCCATGGAGAGTCACGTTCTCAGCTTCCAGTCGATCCGTCGCTCCATCTTCAGACGCCTGTTGCTGTTTCCAACTTCCCCCAAACCCGCTGATTCTTGTGGGCACAGAAGTGCTGTCAGCTTCAAAACGCTCGGGGTTGAAAAGCAGGTTGCCCTTGTTTGAGCATGTGTTGCTTCGAATGCATTCTTCGGCTGAACAAGGCAAATAGAGTCGGACCACAGCAGGCAAAGATGGCAAACATGGGTCAGAGTGCAAGATTGGATCGGATTTCTGTAGAGAGGCGCGGCTTTCCAGGGCCTTGAGCCAGATTTTGCGGGTTGAGCAGCCAGACGCGAGCAACATTCCCTTGCCTCCAGCAGGACCATTGGATCCTTTTGGTATCCCCTCCCAAAAACAGATGCGCAGGGAAAACGGAAAGCACACGGGCAAGTCTGATAGCACAACTAGGACACTGATCGAAGGTCATATTGAAAGTGCACGAATAGCAATTCAGACGGCAAAAAAAGATAGACACTCCAGTGGCCGGCACTCCAGTAGCAAAGTCTGTAACAACTCTAAGTGTTCAATATGTCCATCAATTCAAAGCCAATTCAAGAATCCCGAGGCAAACTTCTGTGTTGACCTCAGCCACCAGCAAACTCCTTTCCAACTCAGACAAAACCAACATGTTGATCCCGTTGATTTTTGATGGGCAGCTGCCCCGTTTTATCGGGGACTCATCACATAAGGGCTTTGTTTCCCCGCAAAAAAAAGAAAAGAAAAAACACTTTCCCCAAACCTACGCGCCAAAAAGGGCATTGTTCCCCTGACAAATCCGAATTTTCCGCAAGCCCACGCGCCAGAAAGGGCATTCTTCCCCTGAAAAACTCCGATTTCTCATCGCAACCGCGCGGCAAAAAGGGCATTGTTCCCCTGACAATGTGTGTGTGTGTGTTTTGTTTTTTGTTTTTTTTTACACACCCACTTTTCTGAAACTCCGAACTTTCCTCCAAACCGGGCGGCAAACAAAAAATCAGAGAGACAAAGAGGCGGGGATCGATTTTTGGTGAGGCGCCCCTGTACCTCCGCTTCAGCGGGATCTTTGCGTTGCTCTGCAGCCTCTGGGGCGCCGGCGGCCAGCACTGCGCGTGGCTGGGCCGCGGTCTGGTGCTGGCAGCGCCTTGGGGCTCATGAGTTGACTTGGGGGCTTTGCGAGTGTTTCGAGGGGTTATCAAAGTCGGAAAACTGCGTTAACCCACCACTTAGGGGGTGACTTTGATAGTGGTAAAACAACGGGGTCGGTGTGTCGTTCTTTTGGGGGCAACCCTTTGTGTTTTTTTGAGATCAATTGCCTTGACAAGCACCCTTTCGGAGTTGAGGGCACCATTTTGTGGATTCGCTTGAAGTTAACCAAAAGGAAGCTCCCAGATCGAGGTGCCGGTTGTTTCTGGGTAGGTTAAGCTCATGAATCAAGGGGCGCCAAGCCCATTTTCAGCTTCCTCTTGCAGCAAAAGTCACTCCCAACCTGCGACCCTCGGTGCCCTTTGGAGGTGTCCGTTGGTCAATTAGCGAGCCAAAGAACTGGCGACGTAGATATGGATTAACCACTACATGGTTTCAGCTTGACCATTTGCCGCCATCGTTTTCCAAAAGACACCTCCTCATTTTTTTTGGAGGGGTTCTAGGGTTGTCCTGCGGTCCTCACATCTCCTTTGGGCGGTTTAAGCATCGCCTTTCAGTTCAGTTGCGCCTTGGTGGGGCTTAAGTGCGGCCAAGGAAACCTGCTGCCCTTTTCGGCTTACCTTGTTGCACAAATCTCTGAGCCCCTGAAGGTGTAGAAAAACTCCTTCCAAACCAGGCAGAATCCTGTTGCTACGCTTTTGGAGGAGTCAACCGCCCCCCCTTGGGTCAGCTCCGCTTGGTGGGTGTTCGTATTTGTGCAATCAGGGGTTGTTTGTGCTAAACCAAAAGGAACGCCACCATTTTCGGGGTTCCCCTGCTTGAAGAGAAACCTAGAAGCCACCCAGCTTCACAATTAGAATAGGTTCCCCTCGTTTTTGGGGGGCCCTCTCTCAAGATGGGGGCCCTGTTCTCTCGACATGCTTTCTGCCCAGGAAGATGGAAGTAGGCTGGAACATGTCTTCGGGGTTGGAAAGAATTATTCGCCCCTTTCTTATATTTTCAGATCTTACTGAGGAACAGCAAAAATGGTTGGTGAACATAAATCCTCATGAAAATGATCTACTTCTCGCACTAGCACCTCCTTTGGGAGGGAAGCTGAGCAGGTGCTCCTGCGTCGCCTCTTCCGCGCCTGGGGTGGGTGGCCGAGTCGTGCGCTGCGGGGGCCCAGCGGAGCGCTGGCGCCCACGGTGGACGGGCTCCACCGGCGCTTCGCGGCGCCTCGGAGGGACGAGACCGGGAAGGGCTTTGGATTGGAGCGTCCGAATTGCCCGAGGTTGGCAGGCAAATGGTGGCTGTGGGTCAAGACCACTGGGATCCCATTTTGGAGTAGGTGCACCACCCATTTTAGAACCTAGTTTAGTGAGGATTGGGATGTTCACTGGGGGTACGATTTGGATTTTGACCCACAGCCAGGGAAGTTCCGAGGTTTAGAGCGTTCTCCCCGAGATTTGGCACCCAGGCTTGGGTTTTGCGACCTTGGCAACCAACAGGGAAACGAAGACCTCTGTTCAGCACCCAGGTTTGGGTTGAGCTGCCTTGGGGTACCACTTGCAAGAGGGACTTCACTAAGGGGCTAGTTCCTAGAAGTGGATTGAAGTCTCGAACCTGGCAACACCTAAATAGGCTCCTGAGAAGTCAAGTTGCAACAAACTTAGAGGTCGTTACATTCGCCTTTCCATGTGCTTGCTGGTCGATCACTCTTTGGGCCAGGACAGTCAATGAACCTGCGCTACTTGCAAGCTGTGGGTAGCTGAAAGTTAGTAGGGGATAGTCCCAAGCTGGATGCAGCGACCAGTCAAACTATGAACGTGGTTTTGGGGAGACCTGTCAATATGGCTGTGGGTCAAAATCAATGGCACTATTTTGGGGAAGGTGCACCACCCATTTTAGAACCTATTTTAGTGGGGATTGGGATGTTCACTGGGGGTACGATTTGGATTTTGACCCACAGCCATATCAGGTTTGGATTATGATTCTCACCTTCAGAGTGGCGAGAAAGTGTCGAGGGTAAGAGTTTGGGTCAGGTGTGTTTCACCATCGAAGGTCGGGCCAATTTGGGGCCTCCGGCTGGCACAGACAGGTGATGCTTTTGGCATGGGTCCATAGCAGCGTTTTGTCATTCGTGATTACCAGTATGTTTGATTCAAGAGGTGCAATGCTATTTCCATTCATCATGGGGGCTGGGGAGGGAGGGAGGGGAGGGGGAAAGAGCCCAACTACGCCCTTAAGGCTTTATTTCGGGCGTATTTTGGGCTCCCGCCCGGACTCCCCCTCGCCCCCAGCCCCCATGAATTCAAGACATGACTCTGGACCCTGTTGAGATCGGTAGGTTTTTGGGCTCAGACGTTGTGAAACTTCAAGCCACCGCCCCCTCGCCGATCTGGGGCACCGAGGAGCTCTACTTAGATGGCAAAGCGGAAGAAGGCGGCGTTGCCTTTTGTGCTTGGTGTTGGATGTGCCCAAACCTGGTGGATACCTCGTGGATTCAAAGGGTTTCTTTTTGAGACAGGACGCCCCCTATGAATTCACTGGTATATGAATCCTGCGCTTTCCAATGGCACCTTGCTTCCAAGTTGGACCAGACCAAGACCTGGTTGAATACAACACCGCCAACTTCCGAGCTTGATTTCACTGGCGACACGGGTTCTTTTTCCGATCCTTGAAGTTTGTGGGCAAAACCAAAACTACCCCTTGTGAACACAGAAGTCCCAAGCTCGGAAGCTCCAAGTGCCTTTTGACGCGCAGCTTCAGCCTTGGAATTCCTGGCAAGATGCTGTGCAAGGGGAAGTATTAGTGCCTCGCAAAGTAGGTTGCTCCCTGTGAATAGATTTGCAGGGAACCCTGGGGTGCCTCTAGCCAGTTGCTGGTGATGTAGGTTATAAACCACTTGTCAGTCGGGAGTTAACCCTGCTTGTGGGTTATAACCCAAGCGTCTAGCTACGTACTAACATTGCCAAGCATCCAAGGAGAGGACATCTATTGTTGGCGCCCGCAGGTAGATCAACCTGTAATAGGAATTGAGACACAGTTGCGCAAAAGTCATGGCGCAATTCCCACATGTTGGTTTAGTCGCCCCTTTGCATACCCACACAAAGGGAATTGTGCAATCAACTTTCACGGTGAGCTACCTTTCCCGTCAATCATTGAAGAGCTGTAAGGTGTGAGACTAATTAACTACTTTCCTTTTGAGGGAACCTCCGGGTCCAGTTCCATGATTGGAGAGAAGGCATGTGGGTGTGCCTCATTTTGTGAAATACACAGGGCTACGCAGGTGTTTGTCTTGTTTCCATGTAGCAAGGCGCCATGTCAGGTACCAATGGACAAAGTTTTGAGCCACAATCAAGGGGTTTATTCCCACTTCTGTGATACAAGGGAATCTCCCCCTTTATATGGGGTGTTAGTCTTTGGGAAGCCCTTTTTGCTGTATCACAGAAGTGGTCATTTCCCACAACCATGCCTGGCCGTGTTTTTCCCCGCAGGGGAGGCAGCTGTGCTGGGTGCACAGCAACGTGTGGAGCTGAACGGCCAACGTGTGGCCTTTTGGGATGTGGGCGATGGCGAAGGCCCCGCGGCACGAAGCGGTTCGGAAGGGCCTCTGTCAACCCAGTGAGCCACAGACAAAACCAGGGTACACTTCTTTTAATAATTTAACGTTGGGTGATCTTCATTCTAATACACTTTTCTTTGATCCAATATTATTCATTCTATGGGGCAGAGAAGCTCAAGTCGGAAGCTACCAAGAACAACAACGCATAGTTGTTCCTTCCGACGCCCTGTTCCGGCGCACACAGAGCCTAAAAATGCCTTCAACAATATGTCACTTACAGCACATTTTACGCGCTGCCTCAATTTTTGCTGGCAGTTGATACGGATCACAGCAATGCCGACCCCTCCGCGCGCTGCGCAGATGTACCGGTATTTCTCTCACGTCGTAGCCTTTCCGGCTATCCTTCTTGTTCTGCCTAGGCGAACCTCTCGCAGTTTGGGGCATGTTTCCCTCTTCTGGCGGGGGGACGCGCTATTTACAGCGCGTGCGCGTCGGCACTTTGCTTGGCAGCTGATAGGGATAGTGACAGCAGCCAGCCCAGAGTTCAGCACTGAACGCACGACACCCGCTCCAGTGCACCCGCTCAGCACTGCGCACACGCCTGCCACATAGTGAATTGCTGAAGCCCGCTCAGCACTGCACACAGGCCTGCCCCTTCGGGAAGTGTGGGCCATTGAATTTGTGGGGGGCGTGCGCCGTGCAGTGGGATTTGCGGCATTGTGGGCGCGCCGGAACAGGGCGTCGGAGCGCAGTTGTTTAACCCCCGATATTTACATGTTCCTTTTGGGTGTTTAACCTGCAAACCACCTGCACTTCCTCAGTGGGTTGGCCAAACCAAAAAGAACGAGATGCCACTAAGATCTTCCTCCCAGCAAGTATAAAGTCCAGGAACTCAGGGAGTGCGGGCAGAGTCACAATCAAAACCTGGTACTCAAGGGATTTACTCAAAAGGCATGTCAGGACTCAAGAAAAAAGATCTCCGCACCCGCTGGGACTGTCCCCGACTTAACCTTCACTTTGAACCCTCCCTTTTCGCTTGAGTCACAATCAAAACCTGGTGTTAAAATGGCCCACCCACATGCATGTCAAAGATTGAAAATGCGGCCGCACCCATTTCTGGCTGGGACTGCCCCTTACTAACCTCATCTACCCAGGTTTTGATTGTGGCTCACCTTCACTTCGGGTTGGGCGATCGCACCCATTTCTGGCTGGGATTGTCCCTTACTACCCCCCCAATTACCCGGGCTTTGAGTGTGACTCATCTTATCTCGCGACAGGTTTGCAGCTTTCTTCTTGGGTTCTTTTCAAATGAGCTGTCGGACATTGTTCGCTTTGGTTCCCCTTTACTGACCCTGCAAAAAATCCCTTAAACCATGGCTGGTCTTTCGATTGACCCCAAAGGCCCCAAAAGAGCCTTCTGAATTCAAATTTGGCTGTTCCATGAAGAACCTAAGGTGTGATCGACAGTTTGCTCCAGGCTCGGGTTGCTACCATGAAGACCCTAAGGTGATCAACCTTTTGCTGCAGGTTCGGGTTGCAACCCGGGAACAAAAATACATAAAATAAACAGCAACACGGCAACCTCTGTTTTTGCCGCATGTTTCCCCTGTCGTGAACAACCACCCTTTGGCTAGGTCTGCCAGTAGTGCCCTTTCTCACCCCTTTTTTGGTTGGGAGATTCGGTTCCCCTACTAAAATAGACAAAAAGGAGAAACAAGTTGGTACCAACTTATTCTAGCCTCTCAAATCCCAATACCCTGGTTGATTAGCAGGGGGGTGTCCCCACTAAAGTGGGGATTCATCACTTTTGGAGACAAAACACCTAATAATGGGAAATTCCCCTTTTAGTGGGGATTCATGACTGTTGGAGACAAAACACCTAACAATGGGAAATGGGCACCCTTATTCTCATCCCCTTTTAGTGGGGATTCATGTCTGTTGGAGGGAACACTCCATAATAATGGGACATGGGTACCCTTCCCACATCTTTTGCTGGAGGACCTCTGTTGCCCCGAGCGAAGGAAGCCACGGGTCGTCCGGCCGCCGTGTCCGCCGTGTCCGCCGTAGGGGCCGTCCTGGTGTGCAACGGCCTGGGCGCCCGCGTCATGACCTGGGCGCCGCTGCTCTCGGCGCTGGGCGCCAGCTGGGCCAAGCGGAGGAGCCGAGAGCCGAGGGGAGGTTGCTGGGTTGCCCTGGTGCCCAGCGCGGTGTTTTTTGTTTTGCTTTTTTTTTTTTTGGGGGGGGGGAAGTTGTTGTGTGTTTTTGGGGGGAAGGGTTTCCCAATTTAAAGTCAACCAGCCAGAAAGGATACTGTTTTTTCCCATTTCCACTGGGCATGTGAGGGGGGTGGGGGGAATGCAACATGAACAACTCAACTCCCTTGTTGATTGATGGGAGGGAAGGATAGACAACCCTTCACTTTTTGGAGAAACACCACCCATTAGTTTGCCAGGTTGACTAATCCGGGGCCAACATTTCCTTTGGAAGGAACATTCCAAGATCCAGGTTGCAAGAGCCTATGTCAACCCTCATAAGAGATTTGTCAATTCCTCATGTCGATGCTTGCCAAAGGGCACCCTTTTGAATGAACACCCTGTTGAATGAACAAAGGGCAATCTGTGCTTGTCGAATGATTGGAAAAGACATACAATGGGAGCCAGAATTGAGGGAGCGGGGGGGGGGGGAGAAAAGACAAATCTGGGTAGTTGGTCAGGGTAAGAGTCCCAAGTTGGGAGCAGCGTTCTTCAGGAATTGATCCCAAAGAAAATCGTTCCGTGAAGTTTCCGTTTCGACCAGCACGGTTCGCTGTTTCTGACATTTCCCTTTCTGGGATCTCCATCCGTGTCCCGAACATACGATATCTTGCAAGGACAGGGTGCTTGCAGAATGGATTTGGAGCGCTGCTTCACGTTGACTTCGGATTAATTTGTATAATTACCTGGCTAAACCGGGAACCACCTTTGATTGCAGACGGTCTCCGGGAAAAAATCCGACATTAAGAAGGCTGCGTTGTGTTTGGGCCAGACCCGCTTGTTTTGTTCTCCTGGCATGGGCGAAGCTGACTTTCCTTCTGCCATTGTGAAAATCTTGCGGCCTATGCTTTGTGGTGTCCCCATCGTGCAAGCGGTGTCGGCGTTGGCTGGTGGTCTGACATCCCATGATCTACTCGTGGGACAAGGGACCCAGGCATTCCAGCCCGTGTTGTTTGAAATATGATACTTTGGAGCCCTTAGTCTTTGATGCGTGATGGCATGTTTTTTTTTTTGTGGGTACCCTTGTTGGATGGTTCAATGGGAAACCAAGAGGAACTAACCCATTTTGGGGGGTTTCCCTATTTTGAGACAAACTCATGTGTTCAGAGGACCTTAGATGACCATGACCATCGAACATTTAACAGGTAGCTCGAGGGGGACCGAGTAAAAGGAAGGGCCGGCTTAAACTGGTTATTTTAGGACAGGTCATACCTGCTTTTTGTTCAGATTGCCATTCGTGAATTGCCGGTAGGCTGGTCATCTTCGACTACCCAGGGCAATTTGCCGCTTGATTCAGGCATGGTATCTTTGGTCGCTTTTCGGCGAGGCGTTGTCCTCTTGACTGCTACTGCTATTTGGTTGGATCTTTAGACTTTAACTTTTTGGGAAATCAAGGGGTTTTCCACTAAACCCCCAAAAGTTAAACTTTTTGCACGGGGGTCAACAGCAACCAAGTCCTTGACCCCCTCTTGGGCCATTCATCCTGCATTGCGCTGCAGGGGTTTCCCGAATTTGGCCCTTGGCCGATCAACTCTGAGGCGAAAAGGAAGGCTTGTTTGTTTTTTCACGTGCCGCGTATGATTGTACAGCACCCTGGCTCTGTCCCTGACCACATGCACTTGCCGATCCGTATGTGCGGACAGCACCCGAATACCCGACCATTTCACTTGATCTTGCCTTCCTTGAGACAGGTCAAGCTGCCAACAACCCTACATGCGAGAAACATTCTCGTCTTCAGTGCTGTGTTTGCAAATGAGCTCGGACGGTCGGAGGTCTCACCCAAGGTCCTTTACTTCAGGTGTTATTTTCGTCTACGAGCGCTGGGGGTAAAGCGAGCAAGCTCTATGCAGGTCCTTTCAATGGGAAGTTTCAGGTTTTGGACAAACAAGTAGAGGGACGAAAAGCGATCTTTAGATCGATAGAGGTTGGGGAAATGATATAGAATTTACAGATTCCTTGTGGCGTGTGTGTGTGTGTGTGTGTCTTGGTTTTCACAAGTCTTAGCCGAATCTTCCAAGGACAGCCAGCCTTTGGTGGGCGACATTAGCGTGGAGCCGGGATGCTCAGTGCTAGCAAGATTGGGGACTTCTGTTTGACTGTGTGTGTGTGTGTGTGTTTTAAACAGGGGCACAGCAAGAAACCCTGCGATACCCGCATTTGTTTAGGGGGTAACTTCGGCATTGCGTATTTCTACTTCTCCTTCCTGCCAGAAACAGCCAGAGGAAACAGCTTGTGAAAAAAAGAGATGCAAATGCGGAAATCACTCCACTCCCACCCCCCACCCCCCCGGCCCCACTCCCACCCCAAAAAATGCCCCCTTTTTTTTTGGGGGGGGGACAGCTTTCTAGACATTGGGCTTGAAATTTCAAGACCCGATTTGGGTTTTCGGCCTTTCGTGGTGAATACATGCGCACAGACACTTTAAGGGGATCCTCAGGTTATATTTCAAAGGGCACAAGTTGAAGCCGGATTTCGTGCAATGGCACGCAAGCCAAGACACTCCGTAGAAATTATCCAGAGTCGGCCACACCGGTGAAAACTGGCTTCTTCATTTTTCTTTAGGGTTCGAGAGGTTGGAGGGGCTTGACAGGTTTGAGGGGTTTGGAGGGTTGAGGTTTTGGAAGGGTTTGAGGGGCTCGGGGGGATCCACTTTGCTAGTCACTGGTTTCTGGCACACGGGCCCCCTTCACCAGGCTGGGGTTTCTTAGAAGCAAACATGATTGGGCCATTTTCATACTTCAACACATTCCAGAAACAGCACGGGCTTTCTTTCGCCAACCACGTTTTGAAACTGCACGTGTTCAAGTTGTCTTTTGTTTCTTATAAAAAGGCTTTGCCGGAGTTGCAGGCTTCGGAATTGAGACTGGTCGCCGTCCATGTTTGCAGATGTGCCACCTCGGTCCGACTCAAAAAAGCAGGTGCTTGGAGCTTGATCTTGGTTTTCGGATGACTGATTGCTCCTGTTTCCCCAAAAGCACGCAAACAGTCTGGACCCATCTGGACCCCATCTGGACCCAATTGCTCATGTGTCCAAGTTGAGACCCAGCATCTGTCTGCCTATTTTATAGCGAGCTCACCGGGGGGTAAAACGAGCGCAAACCATGGTAAAGATCTTTGCTTGGGGATCCCTTAAATCAGCTTGTGGACATATGGTAAAACTTGCTGGTGCTCAGCAGATGTGGGAATGAACCCTGGGGTCCCCTTAAAGGAAACCACAACAGTTGAATGGTTTATGGGGGTCATTCCCTCTCTCATTCCCTGAGCGCTGGCCAATTTACATAGTGCATTGCCGAGGTAGTTTGTCTCAGGTGTGTCTCCCACTTGGGGATCCCTGAAACCAGCTTTCGCACATGTAGAATCAGCCCGCCAGAGTTCTAATCCCTATGTCAGCTGTTCGTTCGAGCTCCCCTTTTTTCAATGGCGGTTCCCCGGTCAGACGCCTCTCTCGCCGCCGGGAGGGGCCCGGGAAACCCCAGGGGGAACTCCACCGTGAAACTCCCGTGAAACGCCTGGTCTAGAAACTCCCATTCTTTCCAAGGATCCGAATCTTTCTAGAAAGCTAAGTACCAAAACCCCCCTTCTGGAACGGATTCGGCTTTTGACAAGAACGAGGGCTGAAAAGAATGGGAAAGGAATCAACTGCTAGAAACCTGGTTTATGCCATCACCCTTGTCAGTTGAGTTAGCCCCTTAGGTGGAGTTCGTCTTGTTATTTGGCTGTGGTTGTCAAAACCCTGTACTGGTGAACATCAAAATAGGTGGTACATTGTTCGAAGGATAGCTGAAAAGAATGGAAAAGGAATCAACCCCCGGAAGCTCAGGAGGGGCTCTGCAAATATTTGCCCTTAAAGAGGGGGCTAAGGAGCTACCAGGAGTGGAAAATGGCTCAAACCTTCCTGTAGCCTATCTTCTGATTTGGTTTCCTTAAAAACCGGGAATCCCCTTCCTAAGACCCCCAGAGAAACCGAGGGACCCTCGGTCTCCGAGGCGCAGCGCGGCAGATGCCTACCGCCTGGCGCAGCACTTGAAGCTGCAGCGGGTGATGCTGCTGTGTTGGTCCACCGGGGTGCAGGCGCGGAATGGATGTCTCTTCCATGGGCTGAAAGTTTTGTTTTTTTCTTCTCCGATTTGCCCTTGTGGGTTTTAAAGGGAAGCGATGTCATTCGGAGAATCGGGATGCCCACCATTTTGAACCCATCTCTTTCACAGAGTCCCTTAAAGGATACGGTTGGAGCAATTACCCGTTCCAGCTCATCCAGAGGACCCCTTGCAGAGTAGGTGGTTTTCGGATGTATCCTTCAAACCCTGAAAATTACCCAATCGATATGTGACACCTGAGTCTTAATGGGCGCCAGAAGGGAGACAGCGAACCACAGCTAGCTTGCCAAGCTAAGTTTGAATCAAGCCACAATAGGATGTGGCTGTGGCTCAAAAAAACGGTACCAAAATGGAACCCTGGTAAGTGGAAACATGGACCAAAACCTGCGTAACCCCTCCTGTTTAGTTTTGAGCCACACCCATGTGACTAAAAAATAAAAACCGTTGGGGCAAACCGCAGGTAGCTTTAGTTTCCAAGGTGCCATTTCCGGAAATTCCCATTTTTTTGAGCCAAAGTCAATACAATGAAGAAGACACACACACACACACAACTGCCCAACTATGAAATCAAACATCAGGATGTTAGGAGCTTGACACGCCTGTTTTTTGCTTTGAACCTCGCTTGTAATGACCCCTTTCCTGAGGGATGACCCAAGATTGCTTCTTTTTGTAGGTCTCAGTCCACAGAAGTGACGTGGCTGACATGGAAATCAGGGCAGAGTCACTCATTGGTTTTACTTCGCCTTTGGCCAACTTTGAGTGAGAGCTTTGCGGCAAAACACGTTTTAACTTGCTGGTGCTCAGTAGGGAATGACCAAAGGGGATTTGCTTAAAGGAAATTATAGGGGATGGCTTATCGGGGGCATTCCCTCATTCCCGGCTGAGAACCAGCGACTTAAGCACCGCGCCAATTTACATAGTAAATGGCCGAATTAGTTGTCTCACACAGTTGTGTCTCATTTTTTTGGGACCCTTCGAGTGGTTGGTATTGGTTTCCTTGTGTTGTCAAATGTCAACCCAACTTCGCTGAGGCCCAAAGCTCCTTATTCTCCGAACCCGCCAACCCCACCACATGTGGAGTTGCTTTGCAAAACCAATCTGGTTGCTTGATCAAGCTGAAAGAGCGATCTGTGGTTGCAGCTGTATCTCAGCCGCTCCTGTCGATGGGCAAGTTCAGGAAGGCTGACAAGTGGTTGGAGTGCACTCTGGGTTGTGCCAGCAGAGGGTCCTCAAAGTTGTTCCTTTTGGTTTCCCCGGCAAACCAGAGGCTGCCGAGCCGCACCCCAGAACGGCCACGGCCGCACGGTGCGGTCGGATCGACAGGTGGGGCTGCAGCTGGCCTTAGACCACCCGGAACTGGTGGAGGCCATGGTGTTGATTCAAGGCCTGGCCTATCAAAGGTGGGAAATGTCTCTCATGTCCGGGGGACTGAGTCAGAGCTACCTGGAGCTGATGGTTCCAGACGGTCCGATGAAGAAGTTCAAGTTCAAGAAGCGGGGTGCTAAAAAGTGTTTTTTCCCCCCACAGCTGGAAGCTTTGGGGTCTCAGCCCAGATACACTCCGGGGTGGTCCGGGGTGTTCCATCAGGGTCTCACCAGGGTTTGACCAGGGTTCCACCAGGGTTCCACCAGGGTTTTAGCAGGGTTCCACCGGGGTTCCACGAGGGTTCCACAAGGTTATGCGAGGGCTGCGGGGTGGTGCGAGCACTAAAAAGAGCACCGCATGCTGTTGGGGATATCACCCGAGCTTTTTTTTGTTCTCCTGGGGATGCCCCTAATATGTGAGTAGGCTAAAGGGGGAAGGGAAGGTGCCTAGAGAGGGCACAGGTTTGGTGTCAGCAATGTTTAAGGCACCGCCCCCCGTGTTCGGATCGGTTCTGCCCCCGAAGTGGCCTATGCGAAGCCTTACAAACCAGGAGACCTGGGATACGTCAGGCGCAGATTGTCATGAGCAACTGTCAATACTTTTGACTTCATCTACCGTGGGAAACGAGGTGACAAGATCACATGCGCCAAAATGCCATTCGGAAATAGGGGTTACTCACCAAAATCCAATGTCATTCGGGGACACCATTCGCCAAAGTGGAGCGTTTCCTCTCACGTTTTGAAGCCCTACCCTTTGGTATCACCCCAGGAACGCAATATGTTGGGAGCCCTACCCTTTTTTGAGTAATTAGAAGGTACACCAGCAATGGCGTCACCGATATAGTCAGCTTATACCAAATTGGAATGTGCCATGGTTGAAAGCACCCTAGGGTTAACCCTTGAGGTTCCCATGACCATGACCCCCCATGAAAACGGCGCCCATGTGGGCACCTTTGGGCGAGACCGGTCGATTTCACCAGCATTTGTGACGTTGGTGCAATGTCATGGAGAACCGTCAGCCATGGTTAGGATCGAGAAGCCATACCACTCATGATCACAGTTGTACATGGTGGCACTTATACATGGTACGTGGCACTTGCATACTCCACTGCAGAGTAACATGGAACCCATCAAAACATATTTCAAAAGAAGATTCCTTTGAACAGGATGGCTTTTGGGGTTCCATGTTTATTGTGCATCAGGGCACAGCTGGTTGGCTGGGTCCCTTTCAACGGCAACATTTGCTCACCTTACAAACTTGCTGATCCTCAGCTGGGGTTCAGCTCTTGTTAAACTGCCAAGAGGAATGATCAATTACCCACCAACTACTCCACTCGAAATTGAGTTCCCTTCGACCAATTGCTTGCTGGTCCCCGAAGCAATGCAAGGGTCTAAACAGGTTATCCAATCACAACCATGATTCTTCATGAGCATGAAATAGTCTAACAGCTACCTTCAATATTCCTAAATGGGTGTGGCTCAAAGTTGAAGGGTTACGCAGGTTTTAGTCTTTGGTTCCATTTACCAAGGTGCCATTTTTTGTTCTTGAGCCACAGCCAAATGGGGTTGTCCTCTCAAACTAGGGGAGCCCCCAAAAAAATGGAACCTGGTGGGTTTTTCCTTGGCGTCCGTTTAAAGCTTCCTGGAGCTTCGTGTCCGTTTCGTTTTTTGCGCAGGCACCACCGGTGAGGCGATGTCGGCCTTGCTGCAGCCCCTGTGCCCGATGCCAGGCGCGGCGTGACTGAGGCCTCCTACTTGTAGTTGTCATAGGTGTTTGGTTGTCATATGGCTGTGGGTCAAAACTAAACCACTAGGGGAACGCAGGTTTTAGTCCATGTTTCCAATGACTAAGGTTCCATTGTGGGTACCTGTTTTTGACCCACAGCCATATGTGGCTGCGGGTCAAAACCCTGTACCCCTCATAGACATCAAAACAGGTGCTACGGGTGTTCATCCGCCCCAAAATGGAGGCATAGGTTATGACCATGGCCCATACGTTGCTTTTTCAGTCGGTTTAGTCGGGTAGCTCCTTGGGTTGTGACTCTGGCCGGAGCCTGTTTTGCTACCAGCTCCCCCCCCCTGGCCCCGAGTCACTGCGTTTGGGTTTCTCTTTGATTCGAAGGAACCAACAAGTGCAACTCACGTCCTGGGCGTGCGTGAGTCTTATTGGGGAACCTCATTTTAGATTGGTTTTACAGGGAACCCAAACGGGACACCGACATCCATGTTGGGGGTCGAAACATGGATTTCTTAGTTCTCCCCGCGCGTCGATTCCTAAAAAAAGGCACACCCATGTGCTATGTGTTCTTTGCCAAACCCAGAATTGATGCCACCACGAGTTCTGCTTGGTATTGATCGGGGTACATGGCTTTTCCAACTCCAATGCCCCTCGTAATGGCAGCGTTTCAGTTTACTCTCCTGTGAAAGCAACGAGAGGGGGAATTCAGAGACACAGCCCTGTGCCCCACTTTTGTCAAACAACTGGGTTCTGTGTTTGGGCAATCGAACAGGCAACAAACGATGCTCTTCGCACTAGGCACTGAGGCTTTGGACACTGACTTTGGCATTTGCAGATTTGACACCTCCAAGAAGGATGGTGGGCATATGCAAAGGCCCATTTCGGCCGGTTGCAATGGGCAGTCCAGGTGATCTCGGTGGAAAGCCAGCCAACGGCCCCTTTTGCAAAGGGTTTTTCTTGGAAGGGTAAACAGATATTTCATGCACGTGGTGATTTTTTACTTCAAAGCTTCAAACCGGGCTTTCAAGACTCAGCTCTGAAGCCCTTTTTGGAGCTGAGATGGGACTTCGCTTTTTTTTTGTTGTTGCACAAGATGCCAAGTTGGTCCTAAGTGTGATCTATTGAGCAGCTGGTGTCTGGTGGTTCGGGTTGGGCAAACGATGGCCCAGTATGGCCACGCCCCGATTCATGACCAAGAATCCCAACCTACCTGCAGGGGCCGTTAGCCTTGAAGGGGCTTCCTCGGAGTCTCCACACATTTTTTTATGTTTGAGGTTGAGAAAATCATGAAGCAGCATCTAAAGTCTGTCTTCTTATACCGGGGCCCAGATATATTTGAACCAGGTGTTGTGCTCCAAATCTAAACCAAGATTTGTGGCAAAGGAAATGGGTAAACCACCAGGGGACCGCAGAATTTGGTCCATCTGGGGTACGTATTCTTGACCTCCACCCAAATCTTTCATATTCCGCTTTGTCTCAAAATTTGGCCAGGGTCAAAATCCCGTACCCACAATGAACGTCCCAATCCCCACTAAAAAAAATGGCTGGTGCACCTAGCCCAAAAGTGGTACCATTGGTTTTGACCAACAGCCATTTGTTGAAAGCCCCAAATTTGCTTGAAGCCCCCTTGGTGGCTCCTAGCCATCCCCTTAGCCTTTTAGCTTTTCAGTGTTTAGTGGTTGGTTTTCCATTTCGCCCACTAAAAGTTAGTCACTTTTAGCGGGGGATCTGAGGCCAGCCTAGCCCCAAAACGGGGACCCGTCAGAGACACCACCACGACACCTCCCAAGACGTCGTGTTGGACGTCCATGGCAGGCGTGCCCTCGTTGCTTCGCCTGGGCCTGCGTGTGGCGCCTGCGGCAATGCGGCGCCCCCGGCCGCTCATGGAGGCGGCACTGCGGAGGCGCTGCGGTGATTTGTTTCTTCTTGCGTGGGTGTGGGTGAAAATTAAACCACCAGGGGACCGCAGGTTTAGTCTTTGGTGCCATTTATCAGGAGCTTATTGTTGACCCACAGCCGCGTGAATGTGGGAATGACCTGAAGAAAAAGCCATGCAACTGGGAGGGTTTCCTTTAAGGTAAATTCAACATGTGTGCTTCTTGCGTGAATGTGGGAATGACCCCAAGAAAAGCCGTCCAACTAGGAGGGTTTCCTTTTAAGGTAAATCAAAATCAGAGAAGCCATGCAACTGGTGGTGTCTTTTAAGGTAAATTAAAATCTTTATATTAGGTGATTTGTTAGAACCCAGGCTTTGATGAACAAGATGGCCATTGGACCTATTCTTTCAGAACCTGAGAGGGTGGTGAACATCAAGCGAAGCGATTCTTGTTCATTCGGAAGCTCAACGGCGAAGCGATGGCCCAAGGAGAGTTGCTCATCTTGGCCATGCTGCTTTTTGTTCATTCAGCAGCTCAAAAGACGGTGGACATCCATGGGTAAATGATAGAGAGGTCACCCGACCTCACGTGAAATTCGACCTAGAAATCCAGAAATAAGGGAGAAGTCCTAGGCTGACCCCCTCCCCCTCCCGCGTTTTAAACCACGGAAATCGAGCTGCTGTCCGTTGCATCACCCAGAATTCCGCTTTTGGGGGCGTTCGACCTCAAAAACAAAAAAGTTGATGCCAAACAAGTTGCTACCAGAAGGTTGCTACCATAACGTCGACCTCTTAAATGTAAGTTGATGCCAAAGAACTGGTGTTTCTTTGTCGCTAAAGCTCTCGAGTCCCTGAACCATGGAAGGTACCGGGGCTTCTTCGAGGCCTTAGGCAGCTGCGTGCTGTGGTTCTTCGGCAGCGACCTCATCCCGGCCGTTGGGGTGCGCTACGTGGCGGACCGCACGCGTTGAGCGGTTCGGAGAGGCGTCGGAGTCGGAGGGCGTCGGAAGGGCAACTTGGCGTCCCAGCTCAATGGAAATTGGGGCAGGGGGAATTTGGACCCCAGACCTCCAGTTATGGCAACCCATTTTTTTGGTTTATTGGGGAAGACGGTATAAATAGAATACCCCCCTCCTCCCCCTTACGGTAGGGCGGGCCTGAGGGGAAATCGGAATCCGGAAGGGCGAAATTTCTAGATTGGCTTCCCAATCTGACAAAACCAGGTGAGCCAAAACAGGAATCGGCCACTCACGAACATTGGAAGTGACCATGGAAAACACGCCCAAAATGTGGGGCTGAGACAAGTTCATCTTGGGGTTACCGGCTTTCTCAAACCCGGGGGCCCGCCCAAGCAAATTTTGACATGCGGGAAGCGGAAGCCAGCGCCTGAACGACGTTATGAACTTTAGTCCTGGGAGCGCGCGTTCTGAGATTGCCTTGGCAACGGGAAAGGTAATGTTGACCCCATACTAATCAACCCCATTTATTGATAGGGTGTCCCTGGGTTTAGTGGGAAATCATCACTCTTGGAGGGGAATGCCCCCCTATTAATAAACTTGGGTTGATTCATGTGGGGTCAACATTACGGATCAGCATGGGTGTTTCCTAACATTCACTAAGCCTTTTTCAGTAGTGGGAAACCAGCAAGCCCCAACCATTTTGATTGCTGACTTCAGGCAACTCCCATAGTTGGATAAACCTACTGTGGATTCACTGTGGATGGTTGCGAAATCCTGCACCACTTTGAAACAATGGGAAGCCATTGTTTGTTGGTATTTACAGAGGAATCATCATTCCAGGGTTTTTTGGGCGGTGCAGGATTTTGTCCATCCACAGTATGTCAAGTGCCAGAGCCACCCGAGGTCGGACTTCGGGACCCGCCTTTAATTCACAGAAGGTATGTGTGGCTTTGGTGCAACCAACAAATATGTGTCAAATCAGGTCTCGCAAGAGTTTTTGAGCTTGCCATCGGCTTTCCTCTATCTGAAAATTTGTTTTGATGCACTGGCCCCGTCTTGGAAGGGTTCGACCTGGCCTTGGAAGGCTTGTTTGCATTCTTGTACCCAGCGGTTCAGTCTTCCCTCCGTTGCTTATTTATGGATGGATCATGGCCTAGGAAGGTTGTTTGTGCTACCGCAACCTCTGGTCTTGAGCTACACTGAGCCCCAAGAATTTCTGTCAGCAGAGCTTTCCAATACAGCCACCCCCTGCAAGAGGGACAATTGAGGGTTGAGTCCATCGGAGGAACTGGAAACCATGCCAGCTTACGCTCGGTTTGCCCATGTGCACAGCAACTCTCGCGCTTTTTCTCGAGCAAGACTCCGCAAGACTTGGTTCCTCCGGGTCACCGATTCGGCTGCAACGTGCTTTTCTAAGGCAAGGA